CACACACACACACACACACACACACACACACACACACACACACACACCTCGTTTTGATCAGTGATTAATGATACAAAAGTGATGACTGAGCAGGGGATGTATGAAATGCTATGAAGTCCTAAATTAGAGTAGGCATTTATGCACACACACACACTGGCAGAGGGAGAGCCAAGATAGTGTGCGTGTGTAAAGTGCTCTTTGACAACTCCAGTAGAGAAGGTAATGAGTGTGTGATAATAACACACTCAAACAAGAACTTAATGAGGCACAGGTAAGAAGCGTTGCTACAAAAGTGCTGCAGCTAAGGATGAGAAAACTTCCTACACCCCCGACTGTGACCCTCCATAAACCATGTTGTTGGTTTTTTAATCTGCAGTGATGTTCTGATCAATAACTGCTCAATGACCTGAGAGACGAGTAGCAACGTCTCCTGAAAAAAATGTCCAAGATGTTATATTGCTCTCCAGGTGTCTGCAGGGTTTACCCATCATACTCCCAAAATCTGTTGGATGTGATGTGAAAACACACACATATACTCAGTCTTTTCCTCAATAACCAAATTGGGGGGGGAAAAAAACAGGAAACTGAGGATAGAAAGTGACAGGAAGGATAATCTAATTTCTAGTGCAATGCAACCATCTGCCGAGCAGAACTCATGTATCGAAGACAATAATCAAGTTTACAGCAACAGATGTCTGCGTTGGCGTCAGTGTGCCGGGTGTCGGTGCAAAATTGACTGCATATGTAAATACTAGTGTCGAAAATATCACAAAGTTCTTCCTCATTTAAATTCATCAACTGAGTCACACCTTGAGATATATCCAGTCAGAAGGAACAAGAGAATCCAGTCCGTTAGGTGAAGACAATCAGCATACAGTCTGTCAATCACTCTGCATACACCTAGTGATGCTACAGCTTCTTGCCTATATGCGTAGATGTGACAGCTTCATTATGCTGAAGAAGTATGAGAACTCAGATGTGTGTGTTTTTGCCGGGAGAACTAGGAGAGAAGGAGATGAGGTGAGGGGTGATGTTCTTCATTAATATTGAGCGTTAGCCTCGACGGAGGTGATACCAAAATAAGTACCAGGTACTAGCCACAGTTTTAGTCAATGGTAATGATCGAGAGTGAGAGTGAGCCGAGTCGTACCATGCAGTGACAAAGAAGTCAGCATCAGCATCGTAATAACTGCTGGGTGCTCGTCATAACTGATGGTCGAAGGGCTTCAGAAGCAATGATGTAAACTGTACCGTACTGACAATCGGCAATACAAGAAAAGAACAAAGCGTTAACTACTTCCATATCCCAAATGACGCGTCCCTTACTCACTGGAGGCATGAGGTAGGTTGGTGAAGAAGGTCTTGAGGCGACTGGCGAGCCACTCCATGCTCTCGTGAAGGTTGGCCAGAGCCTTCAGGTCACTGACGTCCCGCAGGATCTCATTCTGGGGGATTAACTTGTCTCCAAGGTTCCCGGTCAGCACCTCCGACTCCTTAGCAAAAGCCGCCCTGTATGAGAGAGGAGAGAGTTAGAAGGATATACACGGTATGTTGTTGGCAAAGAAAAACATTATTTGGCAAACACTCATACAGCAAACACCCTTTTATCAAAAATGACTGCTATCAAAAAAAGGGCTTAGACAATTACATGTCTGATGTCCAAGAGGCATGCGTATGAAAAACCCTATAATCAGTCTCCAGCATTAAGTTTTCAGAAAATGACTAGCTATTGGTTTGCTGGTTGGACTCAAATGTCTGCGCTGCAGAGGCAGTGAGTGGTTTACATAAATGCTGTAATAGAAGACAATTTTCATAAAATAAAACGTAATGGATTGCTGAAAGTAATGCATGTGCAAATGTTTGCTTCATCTGTTTATAAAGTGTGTTCATACAGCATGTGTTTATTTGAAGAGGTTTAAAGTTTTACAGTAATCCCATGCTTGTGTGCACAATGATGTGTGAATACGGGCAGTGATGCACAAACGTCCAAACTAGGTGATCAGAAACAAGACGTATAAAAGACAGAAGTCAGGAAGAAAGGGGCTCAAGAAAGTTACAGTGCTAAAAGACTTTAAAGGACTTTAAAAGGAGGAAGTTGCTGATAGCTAAACAGTCGGGGGGGAAACAACAGGTGATGGAGAGCATTTAGAAGTGGAAGACAAACAGACGGCAGAGATTTACAGGGTGGAAAAACAAAGACAAAGACATCAAAACCCCCTTTTTTTAGTATATTTTCAAGCGCTTGTGGTTTAAGGACACTTGACTGGTAACTGGCACCAAATACGGGGCGAGAGCGGGGAAGCTGGATAACTGAATCTCAACGCCGCAGCGCTGCAAACACATGGCATGATGATCGGCCTCCAGAGTCACCGGGATGCCCGCAAGATCAAGATCCATTGAACAACAAACGGGTAAAAAGAAACGCCAGACACACAAACACGCATTCTCTCGCTCGCACACAGCCATGTGTAGTTTATTAATGAGGCTTCATTAACGCACTGGGTTGCCAGTCGTGCAGAAGCTAATCCCCGTTTCATAGTGATGAAAACATCTACGGCTCTCAAATCAAACAGTGTTATTGTCTCCCCCTTGCTATCTCTGAGCCCTCTGTGTGTGTGTGTGTGTGTGTGTGTGTGTGTGTGTTTGAGAGAGGGAGGGAGTGTGCACACAACAGATTGACTTTCTCTGGCCACATAACCAATTTATTTATTTACTTTACTATTCCGCTTCGATGAGCTCCAGTGTTCCCTGAAGAGTGCGCACTTTCAAAGGCAATTTCGATAAGACGTCCCCCCCCACCGTCCCCCCCACCTCCGTCTGCTCTCCTTATATTTTCCTATTTTGTTCTTCCCTCGTTTCCTTACTTCCTTCAGATAGAGGGTGTTTAAAAGAGCAATCATGACTTCTTTTATGGGTGCATCTTAGTCAACAACAGAGGGTTCAATAATATGCGAATAAACGAGCAAAGACGGGAGGGAGGGATTATTTGCGTGATTGCGCAAGTGTGGTGGTGTATGTCCACTTCTCCTTGTTTGTCTGTGTGTGTGTGTGTGTGTGTGTATTGTGTGCGCTTGTTACTCTACTTGTTTGAGAATAGTTTTTTTTTTATGACAGAATTGTGATTGTGCTAACACATGGTCATCTGCACGTTTATATGAAATAGTACAAATGTTGTGTGTGTGTGTGTGTTCGTGAGTGTACCGAGTAAAGTCCTCTTCATCCTCTCTCTTCTGTCGCGTCTGTCTGGGTTGGGTCATATTTGCCCAGTTAGGGAGCGACTGGAGCAGACGACTGATGTCCTCATCTTTGGACCAGGAGGCGCTGATGGTGAGTTTCTCCTCACACTGGACTACACCCCTGAAGACACACAGACATAATGACATTCAGACAACGTAACATGTGCACCACTGTTGCTCTTAACAGACACAAATAATGACAAGATGATGAGAAGAGACAAGATTCAGCGGCACCAATATTGGCGTGTTACATGCTAAAATGTTAGTTAGATCAATATATAATTACTTTCAATATTCATCCAAGGTTGAATGGAATTCATTCTTTATATTTAGAGGTTTCTGTCATGATGTGAGGTGGAAAAAAAATAAAAAAATCAGGGATTCCCAAAAGTAACACTCTGCAGACCAACAATGTCTGTCCCAAACTTTCACGACATTCCACCAAAAACTTGCGACGCAGCAAGTGTAGTTCAAAAGTAGTCAATTGCATTAATATTAAATACAAGTCAGGTAGCTGAACATGAGCATCTGTACTGACATTAAAGTGGTTTTACAGCAGCTCTGATTTGGCGTGAAGAGATATTGGGGCAGCCTGCCAACATTTATTTGCTTTGTGTGCATATGTCTGGGTTGGAGAAACTGCTTGGTACTGCAATTAATATCATAAAAGACCTTTACACGAGAGACACACACACACACACACACACACACACACACACAGCCTTGTTTATGTTTAAATGCACACAGGAACACAAACATATATATACACACACACACACACACACACACACACACACACACTCTGGCAGCCTCGGTTGGGTTCATCTTTATCACTCCGAGGCCCCAGTGAGACTGAGGCTGACCTGTGACGGAGTCCAGATGGACTCCCAGCATCTCCTGGCCCGTTCATCACTCCCTCTCCTATCCCTCCGTATTCTCTAGCCCCCCCTCCCCCTCCCCTCCCCCCTTCACCTGGCCAGGTGTTACATGGTCCCGGGAGAGCACAGATGGATGGCCTTTCACAGCACCAGTGTGTGCGCGATTGAGTGTGTGTAAAAAGGAAAAGAAACATTCAAATCTAATTCCATATGTCTCAATGCTGTGAGCCTTCATAATTTAAAGAATTAAAATAGTAAAAGGTAATCGTTAAAGTGGCTGTAATACTCTAGATTTCAGATCCTATTGCGGGTGAGCTAGCCTCCTCCTCCTTCTTTTACCTGTAAGCCATGTTGCAGATTTCCTTGTACTCTTTGAGCTTGTCGCAAACCATCTCCAGGAACTGGTTGGAGTAGGCGCTCAGGTCCTGCATCAGGCTCATCAGATCCTGGATGGACTTCTCCACTACCACCGTGCTCTGGAGGCAGAAACGGGAGGAGAGCAAAGAGTGATGGGTTGGTTTCATTTAGACAAGAACATGTCGAATTTTGGACTCGAAGAAGAGAAAAGGAAGATTGTATGCAAGTGCTCAGTCGGATCCGGTCTGCCGCAGTGCCAGCATAACCGGATGGCTCCTGCGTCGCTTGTCTATCTGTCACCTGCGGCTGGACCGATGACTGGTGCTGGAGAGCTTGTCAGAAGTTGTAGCACCGTACTGCATGTAAGTGAATCAGTGTGAGTGCACATATTTGGGTGTGTTGAAAACTTCTGTGTGTGTGGATTTGTCACAGTGCACCCATCACCAGGAGCCACGGCAGGGCTGTGACAGCAGCCATTACAGATTAGCCACTCCTGCGTGACTAATAGCTGGCCCGGGAACAGCAGAGTAGCTTCGTGTCCCCAGACACGCTCACACATGCACGCAGCGAGCAAACTTTTCAAAACATACACCTTTGAGCAATTCAAGAGCTGTTAAATGAGATTACAACTCAGCAGGTTCCAGCGTGCCTGCTCCTAGCACTTAACCAATCTATCCTACATCTCCAATAATAGTGATAACTTGCTATTAGTCTGGCGATAGCCCTGCCACACTCACTCTGAAACTCGCTACGACTACAAAAGCAGCAGAGAGTGTGTGTGAGAAGCGGAGCAATCCCGCACAAAGATACACAGAGGCGGGCTCTTTAAGTTAAACACGCGATATCTATTCATCATTCATAGATTCCTAATATTCATCTCCCTCTTAACTTAATACGGAGTTCCATTGTTTAGGTGTGAAATGGGAAAAAAATAATAGCTTTGTCAAAGATGAATGAAATGGAAATGATATGCGGTGGGCGCGAACAACTGCAGGAGGGGGAATGTTTTGGCAACGAGAGGCTAGTACTTGCTTTCTAGTGTTGCCTGCCAGAACCGAGCAGAACACACAGACAACCAGATAATCTATTCCAGAGTCAGTGTCTCGTTTGCTTAATAGTGGAAATACAACATGGAGTCTGCATGATATCAATAATATGCCTGAATCTTAGACAGGTAAAATTAAAATGTCTCCTTTTTTAACTGAAGTAATATTCAAGGCCGGTAGGGAGATGCTTAAGTGGCTGGAAAGACTGTAGGGGGCAGTAGTGACTGTAATTGATCATCAGAAATATGGAAAGAACCCTGAGGTGATGAAATGATATCAATATTAATAGCTCTTACTGTGTTTCATCTCAGGCAAGCACACACGCACACACACTCCACTGAGGGGAGTAATGATCCATAGCGGTGCCCGTGCCCATGGAGTGCTAACCAAGGCCTTGTCTCTCCCAAGGGAGCACCCTTTGCTGTCCATGCCTGACTCCCTGTCAGCCTGCCAGGGTGGGAAGAAACACACAGACCCTGCAGGAGGGCTCGCTGTTAGTGCGGCTCTGGCACCAGCTCCCAGTGTAGGCTGGTGGTTTTATAAACCATGCTATTCTCACCCCGTGGGCGAGGGTAAGCAGAATCATTATTTTGGTCATTATGTCTGACAGTGCCATACATATTCACTGTGCAGCCCAGTTTATTTTACACCTTCATTTTGTCATGTAATGTTTTTTCTTCTTCTAATTTAACTGGGAAGGTGGTCCTCGGAAATGTTTGAACAATCAGCCTTAAGTTAAAAATGAAGGGTTGAGAACCCCTGCTGCAAACCACTTAACACTTAAAACTGTATTAAAAAAATTATATAAAAAGGAAATATTTAGTTATTTTGCTTGCCTACTCCAGGGAGGTCAGATTACAGGGTGAAAGGGATTCAGTGGGTGTCGCTGGGAAACTTCAGCATAACTCACTTCAGTCAGTAAGAGTGCATGACAGAGTCCATGACAGTGCTACGGTTTTTATGATCTAAATGACTTTGTAATAATTAAATCATATGGATAAATCAAACTGGATTGATTTAGTACATACATAGCAACAATCCTTTTGGGAAAACAGTAAGAAAAAAACATCAAGTACTGAATTAAATAGCATATATAAGAATAAGGAAAATGTGGAATATCCAAACAACTGATCATTTAAATCCTGTTACATCAGATAATAATGAAATCAGACATAATATAAAGTGTCATCCGGGATGTGCTTCATATTGTAGCCTTAATCCAGCTGATATAGCATAAAATACTTGACATTAATCCTAACAAATGACAGAAATATGAGAAATGTAATATTATGGTGTACAGAAGTTGCCAATATGTTAATGTCTTGTCAGAATTACAACAGAGGCCCTCCCCTCTTGCCGCCTCGACTTTGAGACACAGAGCTCGATAGCGGGCCAAGCCAGTGAATGGAGAAGAGTAAACACTGGATGCCCCGATCCATTACTCCCACACTCAGCTCCCTTGTCTAATTCTGCTCATTTAACACAGCCATTTGTCTTAGGCAGCAGAAATCATTAAAAAGTAATCAAGGGACAGATTGAGAAAAAGGGGAGTGCTGAGAGAGAGAGAGAGGTATAGAGAGGGTCTTCGGCTACGTCTCCTCCATCTTTCTTGACCGTTACAGAGGAGACAACATCCACTGTGGAGGCGTCTGTCTATATTACTCCCCCCCCCCCCCCAAAAGGTCAACATACTGCGCCATCATGTGAGAAACACCCACAATTCTCCTGCAATTCCACTTCACAGTATTGCATTACCCCTCAAACTGAGCCTGGTTGCACTTTGCCTCCACTCTGTTACATCATTAATAGGAAAAAGCATGGTCATCAAGGGGAATTACACTCGCGTCTTGCAAATGGATCTGAGAATGTGCGAGCGGTAAACTGCAGTTGTTTAAAGAGTTTAAAATGACGGTCATGGCCATAGTGGTTTAATGACAGCAACAAGACAGGCCTTGCACTCAGAGCGGCGCCTCAGCGGAAAAAGCTGTTAATGCATGGTCATCACTGCAGCAACCACGCTGAGCTGCTGCTGAAAGTAGTCATTTCCTTTGCGGAGTGAGTAAAAAGCTAAAATGCAGGGAACGAAATGAATACAGTTAGCAGGGATGTACTCCTCTGTGTTGCTGTGTTTTCTTACCTAAGGTAGAAAAAGGAGGGTACGGAGAGGAAGTGCTCACGTGGACTATCTAAGTGCACGTTGTGCGTGAACGGCAGTTTGTTTTAAAAGGTTTCTGTGATGAAGCGGTTGAAGAGGAGGGGAGGACCTCGGGTTTGACTCGAAAACGGATCACGGATTTTTCACCATTAAAATAGTGGGGGGGGGGGGGGGGCACACAAGGTTGTGCAGGGTTCAGAGTGTTTAACCCCCGTGCTCTTTACCCTGACCCTGACCCGCTGACTCGTGTAATGCCGATCCCATGCTATTCACATATCCGACTGTCGGGTTCCCAAAATAATACATACTCAGCAGTGCGTACACACAACTGCACACACACACGCGAACCAGAACACATGCAACGATAACCCCCCCCCCCCTTTTCTCCCATGCACAGGCTGTCCCTCTCCTGGGTAAAAAGGGGGAGCAGGGCATGAGCGGGACATCGTCTTGACAGATCATTCATCAACGTCACAGTCGAGAAACACTCCGAAGACTCCCCTGACGCACACCGGATGGCCCTCCACGCTCGTGCCTGGTCGACCACGACACATACTTCTTTGTGTGCGGGTTTGTATTCAAGTTTGTTTAAACTCTGACAACAAGGCAGCGTGCCTATGTCTACTGAAGTGTGTATAATGTCACCAAAAAAAAAAAGAAAACATAGCCCGGATCCCTTATGGGATTTCATTCAGTTATTTAAAGTACAATTTGAGTTTGTCTACACAACTTTACTGTCTGATGGGTCTTATAATTGAATGAATTTAGAGATTTCAAGATTTGGACTGCCTTCCTCCAGAAATGTAACACTCAACGTACTGCTAGCCTTTATTTGTACACAGATTTACTTACACACACACACACACACACACACACACACACACACACACACACACA